CTTGATACATTGCCAAGCGTCTTGTCTGCATCGTAATCGACATCGTCACTCAGTGTTTCTATTCTTAACTCGAAACTACAACTACTCAAAGAGACAAGTGCCCAACTTTGGGCCGAACTTTTGCTATTCCGATGCATTTACCTACTAACTGTCTCACTCCGCTATCCAAACTTGTAACTCGTTTATATTCTTTTTTTAGAAATGTTCTCTTTTTAGCGAGTTTACTGGTTTGATTTGCCGGAATCGCTTATTCGACTTGGATCTATTAGTCAGCAAACAACTTAAATAAATTTATAAGTAGGTTTTTGAAACTACCAGTAGATCTAATGTAAGGGTTATATTGACAAAATTTTGTTTTAGATAATGAAGGACTGATAGCTGAATTTTCCCATAATCGTATGAGTAGGCCTCAATTCTCCATGGGATTTCATCTAGCCTTGCTTTCCTAAAGGTATTCTCATCCTGACTGAAGTGGACCTCGAGTGGAATTTCGGCATCAAATGAACTGGCTTCATCAGTACCTCTAACGGGATTCGAACCTGCGTGGTGCAGCGGATAGCCTTGACATTGTTCTGATGAGACCCAGGCGAAGTGGAAACTGCAGTCCACTCCACCTAGGATAAGAATATCTTTAGGGAAGCAAGGCCATATGAAATTCAATATAAACATGGGGCCTAGTCATTTCATTGTAACAAAATTCATCTACTAGTCATTCGCTACCTTAAACTAAATAAGGCGAATACAGCTCTTATTTAATTTAACTCTCTTCTGCCCCTATATAAATCCTTTTCGTGTCTTTTTGCTTCACTGATTTCGCTTAGCTTAACAGCATGACTTAGTTGCGAAAACCGGTTTAAACCACTTTTATGCGGCGAAAGTAGACAGTGTTCAAGATATGAGCCACCATCTTGATCTTCATATCTACGATTATCACATTTTGTCATCATACATTTTCCACAACTCTTCTAGGCTTGAGCGAGAGTCCATAAAACCCACTTTTAGGCTATCGGAGTATAGCCATAGTTGTGGATTTACACCATAACTTCTGTAATCTCTCGGTCAAGGAGGAGAATTTCTGCTCCGCTTTGCTATCCAGAGTAAGGACGGGTTGTTGCGGGCAGAATATTCACGAAGTAGATGCAAGCTTTATATGCCTGTTCGTGTGCAGAAATGGGCGTGGCCCGTCCAGTACGGGGGAAATGGTCTTGCAGGCTACACTAGTGCGACGTTTTGCTGTGTGCAGCTCTTGTGATGTGACCAATCGGCACACCCAACAATGTCAAGCTTCACTTTTTCGTGGACTCCCTGTGCAAAGCAACCCTTTCAAAGACACGCCGATGGGGATGATCTCGATATGTACACTACCAAGACAAGGTAAAAGGAAGCAACTTGGTAATTTCGAACTACCTGATAAGACGACTTAGTTGGACACACCTTGTCCGGACTCCTTTGCTATAGTGGTTATCATATTTTCAAGCGTCGGACGGTGGAAATGGTACATTCTCAGCCGTTTCGCCGGCATCATCAGTGAGTCTTGTCATTCTTAGCACCAAGCCGCAGCTCGTCATGGAAGCTAATTTTCTGCCGAAACGGTTGTGCTTAATCGTTCTGTCCTGGTCTTTTTATCTATGCCCTACGCTTTTGCCTCACTCCCCCCCCCTATCACAACTTCTTACTTTTTTATACTAAACTCCTCAAGAGGTGTTCCCATTTTTGAGGGACCTTTATAGTTTTTACTAAGGAAATAATCTGTACGTAGGTTTCTATATATGAGTATTGCCAGATCCAAATCTTTTGGAATATAATATGCTGCAGACTTTTGTTTCTTGCTTCACTCACCACTAGTCCTAATGTCCTAGCCACGCCGTCCGGGTTTTTATGCTAGTTTTGTGTGACATGTTTTAGCAATGGCATGTCTATGCATACTTATCCACATTTATCTGCATCTAGAATATTTGGTTTACTATTTGCTTTAAGTAGCCATATATGCGGGAGTTGAGTTCTGTCTGCTCTCAGTCTTCTTTATTGTAATAATCAGTTTATTGGTACTACAGAAGTTTTTTGCATACATAGTCTATGAGAAGCATTTCTTACGGAGTTATAGTGGAATCACATAGCAACACTTTTTGTTGTCTTCTAATTTATTCATAAGAATTCGTATTTAAATTTCGCTGAGTTTAATAACCATACTGAAACCCAGTGCAAAACACTTATCTAAAAAAATTTCTTTGACTAAGATATTTTCGTATTCACGTGTCTTAGCTAAACCTAAAGGCTTGAGGTGAATAGTCTCGCTATAGTTATAAAACTTAAGCTGTTCTTAAAATGTTCTTAACATAGGCTTTAATGTAATCTTTATCAGATCAAAATCTCAATAAATCATTTGTCATTCTCTTGAGAGAATAGCTACTGGATTAGAATTTCGGCAATTGCTTGATGTCAAATTATCCACAGAAAATTCGATAAAAACCATACTTTACTAGACCTAAGATTGATTATGATCTTCGCTCCATAAAGCGAATTTACATAAAGGCTGCATTCACTACTTGTCGGATAAGATGATGAATTTCCCTACGTTGATATGGGTAGTCCTCACTTTTTTATTAAATCTCGGATAGTCTTGCTTGTCAAAAACTATTCTCATCTCGGCTGGACTCGACTGCAGTCTTGACCTCACCTGGGTCTCATCAGAACCCCCTGAGGAAATCGAACGTAGTTAGTATAGTGTGTAAATTTTACACGTTAACAATTCGCCACACTGCCACGAGTGCCTATTCTTTACAGGACAGACGTGTTGAAACTATACGCGGTATGGCCCAGGTTTGAATCTCGCTGGGGGTGCTGATGAGGCACAGGCGAGTTCGAAACTGCAGTCTAGGCCCGCATGGATGAGAGAATACCATGACAAGCAAGGCCGTGAAATTTAATAGAAACGTGAGGCCTACTCATATGACTGTAAAAAATTGTACGATTTGTCTTTAATCACTTTATGATACCTGTGGTTAATAGATCTTTTATTCAAGGTCCACTGGTAGTTTCGAAGACCTACTCAATTCGAAAATCTGATTAAGTTTTTAAAGTGCCAAGAACCTGTTTAACTCTGGGTCGCTTACGGTGATCTAAAGACTGTTAACTGCGTTTTATAGTTTTGCGTGTCGAGGGCCTTACAATGGCATTGCACTCCACTTGCTCTCCAATGGTATTTGCAACCGGTTCAGAAAGCACGGATCTTCAGCGCTGCTATATTTTCGCCACAGCCACAGACATGAGTTGACGGTTTGCCATTTGGGTGCAAGGATACAATGGTTTTGTGAGGCCTTATATTCATTTTATTTTTTGAATCTCAACTGCAAATCGTTCCACTACCTTGAGTTGTCTAAGGTCACTTGATTTCTTATACAAGACTTATAGTATGCCTTATTTTGTGCATAAAAGCAATCGCACGAGGCCGGTCCTCGTCCTCAAGTTCAAGAAATCATAACTTACCTGATGATAGCGCAAGTTATGTCTGTCCCTATCTGATAAGGGTAGAAGCCTACGCTCCATTTAAAAAATGTAGGGCTTCAATATATAATTTAATAAATGTAAACCATCTACCACCAATCACAATAAATACTTCAAGAGGAACCGTTCAGAAATCTGTGATTAATTTAAACTACTTAGATAAGTAAAGATGGCGAAATAAAACGGCTGCTATGCCTGTTTTCATCGAATTTGTCTAGTTTCGTATTTTATTTTTTATGTTAAGCCTATCTCTATCTATTCCTTTTTTTATACATTTTTGACAATTAAGGTTTGTCTTCGTGGCTGCTCTGGAGACCGGTAGCATTGGCGTTTGGATCTATCGCTTGGCCATACGTAATCACCGGCTACGCACTCTTATTCGCTTCCTCAAAGTGGCCGATATTTATAATGCTGAAATGGACCCGCTCTTAATGCGCTTCGAGCGAACTTTCCTTCGTCTCGACGGCAACTTTCTGCTGCACATGCTGCGACTGAATGCTGGAGAAATAGTGACACAGGACATTTTGCAGGCCATGCTGCAGCGCTACAAACAGCAGGAAGATATGGCACTGAAAGCCAACCAGCAGTTGATGCAGCCAACCAAGCAGCTTGACTACGCGACTGAGAGAGACCAGATAACGGCCGGTCTGATCACACGTCAAGTGAATGACTCGGATTGCACCATCAAAAAGCGTGCAGACACTTAAGTAATGACATACATACTCTCCCCACGCTACAGTCGATCATAGACCTTTTCCGTACTCCTAACTCTGTAAACACATCATAGATCTCACGCAAAATAGATGCCCATTCAGTCACGGGGACTGCAGCATTTTCATCATCATTTTTATCTTGAAGATAATGGCTTATCACGTTTTTATTTCCGCATTCAGTTACTTGTGCACCTGATAGGCACCCTTGCATTTTGTCCGATGAAGGCCTACTGAGAAGTGTGCTGATCATTCAACCTACCCTTGATGTATCTTGTGGTAGGCACGAATTCCGGCGCTGTTTTATTCTAGTTGTCTATTTTTTATCATCTTTCCTTTAGAATTCAGCTCACTGATTCAGATTGTTCTTGGTTTGACTTATGACACGGCACCGGACAGTCGAGGATTAGCGTGAGCGGCTTCAGTGTCTTCTGTCCCATATTGAGAAGTGACAGATTATGATTTAATTGCCTAGTAATTAATCAAGGGTAACATAAAAAATATCGAAGTATAGCCTCCACTCACTTTTCTGTATCGTCTGCCGTCGAATTAGAGCATTGACCATATCATTTTTAGATTAGCCGCAAGGATAGTCGGTCAACGCTTCTCGCAAACTCATGGGTTCGTATATGCACACATAAGCGAGCACTTAATTTTGATGAATAAGACCAGGCCAATTCAAATCTCATGCTTGCAAAGCATCAGAAAATTGGTATAGAAGGGAGGTCGTGTCAACCAATGCCTCTTTTATGCCTGTCTGATGGCAATCGCGATAAGATTAGAGCTATTCCGTACGCCCATTAAAAGACATTATTTTGCTAACTATAAGGATAATTTCGTAGCAAGTGAAAATGAATGAAAGACGGTGGGTCTTGGTCAGCTTAAGCAGCAAAATGCTGGTACGGTTGGAGAATGTGAAAATCTTTGCGAATGTGTAATTTGGTCATACGTTGTGGTCTACAGGGGTGATGACACCATGGGCTTTATTCTGGTGATACATTGGGTATGCTTGCTCATGGAATCACAATAAACTTATCAGACTAAAATTAAAAGTGATTTGATCCGGTTTTCGCAATTTGGTCGTGTTACCAGGGCGACTAAGCTGTAGTAATTATGATAATTCCAGGCTTCGGACCGTGGAGGTGGTACATTTACAACTTCGATTAACTTCTAACATGAATGCTAGCCTGTTCTGTCAATAGTGAAGTATTCTAAGCTCCTGCCGAAATATTTCGAAATAATCCATTTCTAAGTTTGTCATTGTAAGATTTAGTTTAAAGATCATCCTTGCTAAAGGTTTCTGCTTCTTTTTTGATACAAATTCCTATCGGACGACTTTCCGTCAATGCTTCCAGCATTAGAGAGAAGGTGATTAGGCATTAAATGCTGGCGGATGTTCCCACCTGAGGCACGACGCTAGCTGGAAACAGTATGTCCAAATGATTCATATCCATGTCAGGA